TTTTTTTTTTTTTTTTTTTTTTTTTTTTTTTTTTTTTTTTTTTTTTTTTTTTCCTCTCCGCGCTCGGGATTTCCCTCTCGTCCACCGGCTCTGCGCGCGAATGCGATGAGTCGCGCATCAGGATCCCGCAGAATGGGTCATTGTTCATTAATTCTTACACTATCGCGATAAATAGGACCGTTCCATACGAGAGGGATATATATTTTCGATTTGATGACGCGAACGTTGGAATTTCGTTACGTGCGCTCATCGATGAAAAATGTTAATTTCCCTCTGCCTCTTATTTGGACGCAGACGCGCGCACTTGCCTAATTCTTCGTATTACGAAACGGGTTCTTTTTACTACAGGAGTTGAAAAAAAAATCTTGGGTTTTCAAAGATGTGTGTACACATACATAGATGATAAATTTTCCTTTTGGCTGACATTGCCATTTAGCTATTGTTTGCAACATTCTACGATTCATTTTTCGAAATTCGAACTCATTCCTGAGTATTTACTGAATAATTGTCCAAGGATGCGCAGGACCTTGACATTGAAATATCAGAACAGCGTTTTTGTGCATGTTATGTAAAACACAGACGCTCTTTTGTGCTTTCGTTGTTAAGACTCAGTGCTCATGTATTAAATTCCAAGACATGGTGCGCATTTTTTCGTCGTTTAACGATTAATTTTACTTTTATACTGTTCAAACATTCAATGCGTCAAATTGATTTTTTTTTTTTTGTATGAGTACGTAGCTATTAGTATAATTTTCATATAAGTCACTTCTTTTATATACACAACTTCTCTTAGTGACTTTAAGTAGAAGAAGCTTTATTAAAAAATAAATCGTATTTTTCTCTACAATTTTCATCTGCAGGTGAAATTAGGAGTTGAAATTTTATATTTTAATTAGGTAATTTTTAGAAGTAGTACTAAAATCTTGAGCCAATAATAATAATTTTATTGATTAAACCATACCAGCTTACGCTGTGATACTAAAACTCTTTTTCAAAATATAAATAGCTATTTTACTTTGTAATTTCAAAGATATCGGTTGGAATCGTACAATTTTTTCATAGATGTTATCATTAAGTTTCACAACTCTATTTGCTTCCCTAGGACAGAAACGTTTTGATATCACCTTCATTAATTTTTTTACGATTCCAATCTGCATTTATTAAAAGTGAATACGAATGATATAAGATGAAAAAAATAAGGTTTCTGGTATCGTTATTCGTATAAGTTTAGAGAATACGGTCAATTAGGCAACAAGTGAAGCAAAGAGAAATTTAATAGTTTTCAATTATTTTCTAAATTTGTCTCCTACATTAAAAAATCTGTTGGATGAGCTACTTTAGTGTAGCCTTCAGTTTTTGGAAAAATCAGGGATTTTTGACGAGGTAATCCCTCTATATTCTGTTACCTATATAAACGAAAGACGGATAAACACGTAAAACTATTAGTTGTGTGTCCTTTTGCTTTCAAAACGGTAAAAGTGTAATAAATTTGAAATATTTTGTGAACCCTTTTCACATTGAAACTGTAAATGAAAATATAAAAGAATAATGTCAAATAATGAAGGTATACAAAAAAAATTCAAACAATAATTTAGATATACTAGTTACCTGTACAATGCTGATAATTGCAACATGAAATGATATAAATTATGACCATGTAATTTGATATATTGAATGTAATGATTCAAATATTTCATTGCCACTACTCTTCTAAAAAGATCTTCTACTTTTTTAAAGCTTTAATTTTAAACGTATGTGCTCAACTTTGATATTATCATAATCATTTATCTTTTTAATCAGCTTATGGTTGCAATGAAATTTGAAACTCCTGAAATTTTTTAGCGATTCAATTTTCAAAAGATAAATTTTACTAAGCAAATTATTTAAAGAAAATCAAACTAAAATATAATCAAATTAGAATGAAACTGAATTCTTATGTAAAAGAAAACCATAGTCATTATGATTAGATTGTTCTGAGATGATATTTAAAACAATTGCCATAGCTTCAAAAACCATCAAAGATTTTCACAAACAAAAGTAACCGCTCGAAACAACAGAACCAACACTAGCGATGAATTATGGCGTAAAAAATAAATCGCCGATCCCAATACCCTCCCACGCCATCGAGTCTACGGAAAAAAATCAAAAGAGCTCGTAACTCGTTAACGAAAAGAAAAACAAAAAAAAAAAAAAAAAATGCTCCGAAAAACAGAATTGACCGCAAAAGATGAAGAACGAGACAAAGGAAGAGGAGCAGACGTGAAAAGGACGATTCCAAGGTGCTCCCTGACCACAGCGAATATAGAACTTTGGCCAGGACGAGCTAGAAGAGCAGAAGAAGGGGGGAAGGCCCCTCGAAGGACGAGCAGGACCCCAAAAACCTGGTTCGAAGATAGCGACGAACGAAGGAAGGAGAGAAAGCCACAGGCGTGTAGTAATAGTAGCGGCAACAGTAGGAGACACTATACACACGCCGGTCCCCTTCGATTTGCGTGTGTGGGGACAGGCACACTTTATAGGGTATGGGGACGGCTCGCGAGCGTGTGTATACGGAGGATCTCTAACGTGATGTCTGTTGGTGATGGAAGGGATGTGTATATGCCACCGCGTTGCTCGGCCGCTTGGACGTACAATCGGCATGGGTATAAGAGTAGCCGGAATGTGGAGGCGTCTTCAGTCACTCTGACTTTACTCCCACCGGAACGAACGGGGTCGCCAAGAGACCGCGAGATCGTTACATCAGATCAACCACATACACTCGTTATTGGCCGTGCAACGTGTGCTCGGTTCCTCTTTATTTTCCATCGACGCGCGACATTCGGCTATTTCGACCAAAGTTATCATTCTCCGTTGGATACTTTGACGGGCGGTCCTGGGAGCCGAGTCTTTTGCACAGGTAAGTGTGAAAAAGTGGGTGATTTCGCGGATTTTATTTTCAAAAGTGCGCCCGGACATCCCTGGTAGAGTACGATAAGTACCTCATGATGTTTGATTTTTTTATTTTGCCAACTGTTAGATTTCCTTTTGCGATTAGTTAACCAACAGACTGAGCTTTCGGCGCGGATTTACGTCGAGTTTTTGCTTCCGCGGCATCATGAAAAAGCTTTTGCTGGGTTGCCCCCGTTGAATTTGTGTATACGTATCCTTGCTATGCCAGAAAGTTAATTAGTAATTAGAGTTTTTTTATAGGTTGCTGTGTGAGTCTTTTATCGATAAATTGCCATAAGTTTTGTTGTTTAGCTGTAAAATAATTGTCAATGATCGAAGAAACGGGTAAAATAGATTAAAAATGTTTGCTTTTATCTAAACGATGTCTACTCTGAATAACGTTAGTTCAAGCTGTCGCTTTATGAGGATTACCATGCAAGATGCTGAATCGTTTTTGGTAACCCGTTGACTTTCCAATAAAATTCCCCAAGATCGTATTTGATGGTTATCTGTTTAGAAATTGAGAAAGTTTTACTTTTTGGATTTTCTTGTTTCGTGGATTATATTAACTTGTAATAATCTAGAGTTCCCGAATGAAAATTAAATTCGAATCTTTACTATTTAATGGGTAAATTACTTCTAAATAAATAAGTTTAAGTTAATCTGTCCTGATGCTATGTCGTTTAATTTAATATAACTGATTTCTGCAGGCATTTAAAAATTTTAATTGCTTTTATTTATTTACATTTTTTTACTGTAGCTTTTTTGAAATGGCAAATCATAATTGATATCTGCGAATTTAAATTCTAATCAGATGCAATCAATCATTTTAATTGAGCAAATATGCCTAATTGATTGCATCGACTATATTTTTACGGGACATCAAGACTTGTAAAAAAGTATTAAAAATTATATAAATTAATAAGTTGTACTCTTCGTATT